CGCGGGGCACATGCAAATACAAATATTGTATTTGTTCCCGTTTTGTTTTTTTACTTCAAAATAAGATATGTGCAGTGTGCATAGGAATTTGTTCATAGTTTTTTTTTAAACTATAGTCCGGCCCTCCAACGGTCTGAGGGACAGTGAACTGGCCCCCTGTTTAAAAAGTTTGAGGACCCCTGGTGTAGATGTACCACAGCTTTTTTATCCACTCATCTGATGGGCACTTGCACTGCTTCCAAATCTTCGCTATTATAAATTGTGCTGCTATGAACATAGGGGTATATATATATTCTTTCTGATTGGTGTTTTGGGTTTCTTTTTTTTTTTCTTTCAAACTAAGAAAGGCTTTATTTTAAGAGACAAAACAAACAGGAAAAAGACATCCAAATTCAAGTGAGAGTTCACTGTATTTTTTAAAAGAGAAAGCTGCACTTAGGTGTCAATTAAAACCAGAACCATTGTAGAGATGCCTGCTGTTTGTGGTGACAAAGTTACAACATGTATTTGCCTGAGCATTCTTTCTATGGTGGCATAAATGTGGGACTGCATGACAAGAGTGAAGCAATACAAGGTAGAATGGCAAGTGGGTAAATGCTCTAATGTGCTCTTCTTCTGTTTTGGAGAATTAAAGGAAGCAGCAGGTCACTTCACAAAGAACTATATTGTCAAAGAAAACTTACAAAAGTTGAAAATGGATGTGAGGTTGTTACTAAAGGTATATAGGGAGGTTAGTGGGGAAAAAACACTTGTGTTCTCAAAAACCAGGTTTCACACAATAACAGGCACTAAAACTAGTTGTGTGTGCTTGCAACAGGAGAGAATACTCTTAATAATGGCTGGTCTTTTTCATGATACGCAGGAAATCTTCCTCATTGACTTCCCCGTCTCCATCTCGATCAGCTTCATCAATCATTTCCTGCAGCTCCTCATCAGTGATGTTCTCACCCAACTCATTAAATACACGTTTGAGATTGTCGAACGATATGGTCCCAGTTTCATCATCATCGAAGAGCTTGAAAGATTTCAGGATGTCTTCTTTGGAATCTTTCTCGCACTTTTTTTGAGTCATCACAGTAAAGAAGTCATTGAAATTCATTTTTCCTGTACCTTCTGGATCAATTTCACTTATCATCTTCATAATCTCTTCTTTCTTTGGTTCAAAGCCCATTGCTCTCATCACCACCTTGAGCTCTCTAACATCAATGGTCCCAGTTGCATCAGTATCGAAGAGATCAAAAGCTTGGCGTAGCTCCTGTATCTGCTGTGGACTAAGCTCCAGCTTAGGACTCACTCTTTTTGGCTGGGAAGATGATGCCACGTTTGTTGCTGATCAACTGAAGGCTGTCTCCGTGTCATTCCTTCTTCGCCAACTCCGTCCACACCTTTGGGGACCCCTGGACCTGCTGGGGCTGGACCCCAGCAGCCACATTTGTTGTCTTAGAGCTAGAAGAAGCCATCTCCAACCGACTCTGTTTTGGGTTTCTTAGGATATATTCCTAGAAATGGGATCACTGGGTCAAATGGGAGTTCCATATTTAATTTTTTAAGGAAACTCCATTTTGTTTTCCACAGTGGCTTACACCAGTCTGCATTCCCACCAACAGTGTAATAGGGTTCCCATTTTTCCACACCCTCACCAACACTTGTCTTTTGTTGATTTGTTGATGATAGCCATTAGGACGGGTATGAGGGTATTAGGCGATACTTTACTGTCATTTTAATTTGCATATCTCAGATGATTAGTGACTGAGCATTTTTTCATATGTCTCTTGGCCTTCGGTATGTCCACTTTGGAGAAGCGTCTTATTTAAGTCCTTTGCCCCTTTTTTAAAAAAAAAAACAAACACAAAAAACATTTCTATTGATTTCAGAGAGGAAGGGAGAGAGAGAGCTAGAAACATCAATGATGAGCGAGACTCATTGATTGGCTTCCTCCTGCATGTCCCCTCCTGAGGATTGAGCCTGCAACCTGGGCATGTGCCCTAACCTGGAATCTAATCGTGCCCTCCTGGTCTATAGTCCACGCTCAACCACTGAGCCATGCACATCAGTCAGGCTCTTTGCCCATTTTTTCATTGGGATATTTGTCTTTCTTTTGTTAAGTTGTATGAGCTCCTTATATATCTTGGAAGTTAACCCCTTATCAGATGTATCATTGGAAAATGATACATAGATTGTATCATTGGCAAACCCCATATCATCGTCCTACCCCATATAATAGATTCAATGTAATCCTGATTAAAATACCAATGACATATTTCACAGATCTTGAACAAACACTCCAAAAATTTATATAAAACCAAAAAAGACCTTGAATAGCTGTAGCAATCTTGAGAAAGAAGAACAAAGTTGGAGGAATCACAATACCAGATATCAAGTAATGCTACAAAGCCACTATACACTAAACTGCTTGGTACTGGCACAAGAACAGGCATGTAGATCAGCGGAACAGAACAGAGGCCCCAGAAATCGACCCAAACCATTATGCTCAATATCTGACAAAGAAGGCAAGAGCTGCAATGGAGTAAAGACAGTCTCTTCAAATAAATGGTGTTGGGAAAATTGGAAAGGTGCATGCAAAAAAATGAAACTAGACCACCAACTTCTACCATACACAAGAATAAACTCAAAATGGATAAAAGACCTAAAGTAAGTTGTGAAACCATAAAAATCTTAGAAGAAACCATAGGCAGCACAATCTCAAACCTCAAATATGTAGCAATATATTTACTGATACAGTGGTCGGCAAACTGCGGCTCTGACCACCAACTTCTACCATACACAAGAATAAACTCAAAATGGATAAAAGACCTAAAGTAAGTAATGAAACCATAAAAATCTTAGAAGAAACCATAGGCAGCACAATCTCAAACATCTCAAATATATAGCAATATATTTACTGATACATCTCCTAGGACAAAGGAAACTAAAGAGAAAACAAACCGATTGAAACTTCGTGGCCCATGCGCAGAAGTCGGCTTGCGAGCCGCAGTTTGCCGACTGCGGTCCTAGGGCAAAGGAAATTAAAGAGAAAACAAACAATGGGACTACATCAAAATAAAAAGCTTCTGCCCAGCAAAAGAAACCAGCAACAAAGTGAAAAGAGAGCCTGCTTCATGGGAGAACATATTTGCAATGCATATCCATTCTTATTCCCTTTGTCCTACCCCATATAAGCAGCGGGTTTATCGGGGGTTGCAGAGCAGATTTTGTGGCTGGCCTGCTGCTCTCCCAATTGTTGGCAGTATTGGAATAAATGCTCATGTATGACTCAACCCTGTCTCTGCTTAATTGGCTCAAGTAGTGACAGGCAGCCCGGACCCATTGGTTGTCCAGTTTCTCTAGGGGTTCAGAGATCAACAAGACAGTTATGGAATGCAATTTTAGTGGGGGCCAACAGGCAATACATACAAGATAAAAATAAGCAAAATAATTCCAGTGAGTGCTGATGGAATAAATTTGGGGAGATGTGATTGAGTGACAAGGAGGAAGAGTGCTAATTCAGATTGAGAAGTGTGGTCTGAGGAGGTGACATGTGACCCGAGACCTGAATGACCCAAAGAAGCCAGCCATAGAAAGCTATGGAGCAAGAGCACTCCAGGTGGAGGGAACTGGGAATGCAAAGGCCCTGAGGCAGGAATACTTTGTAATAGAGCTGACTCTGGTCCAGTGCTCCTTCACCATTTGCTATCTCTCTCGGTCAGCAGTGGGGAACGTCCGGCCAGTGGGCCATATATGACCCGAAAAATCATTTAGTCTGGCTCTGCCGAGGCATCAGGGTGAGTTAATTAAATGTTTGACCAAATATAGCCAGCTAATTTAAAAGCAAGAGCTGCAATGGAGTAAAGACAGTCTCTTCAAATAAATGGTGTTGGGAAAATTGGAAAGGTGCATGCACAAAAATGAAACTAGACCACCAACTTCTACCATACACAAGAATAAACTCAAAATGGATAAAAGACCTAAAGTAAGTAATGAAACCATAAAAATCTTAGAAGAAACCATAGGCAGCACAATCTCAAACATCTCAAATATATAGCAATATATTTACTGATACATCTCCTAGGACAAAGGAAACTAAAGAGAAAACAAACCAATGGGACTACATCAAAATAAAAAGCTTCTGCCCAGCAAAAGAAACCAGCAACAAAGTGAAAAGAGAGCCTGCTTCATGGGAGAACATATTTGCAATGCATATCCATTCCTATTCCCTTTGTCCTACCCCATATAAGCAGCTGGTTTATCGGGGGTTGCAGAGCAGATTTTGTGGCTGGCCTGCTGCTCTCCCAATTGTTGGCAGTATTGGAATAAATGCTCATGTATGACTCAACCCTGTCTCTGCTTAATTGGCTCAAGTAGTGACAGGCAGCCCGGACCCATTGGTTGTCTAGTTTCTCTAGGGGTTCAGAGATCAACAAGACAGTTATGGAATGCAATTTTAGTGGGGGCCAACAGGCAATACATACAAGATAAAAATAAGCAAAATAATTCCAGTGAGTGCTGATGGAATAAATTTGGGGAGATGTGATTGAGTGACAAGGAGGGAGAGTGCTAATTCAGATTGAGAAGTGTGGTCTGAGGAGGTGACATGTGACCTGAGACCTGAATGACCCATAGAAGCCAGCCATGGAAAGCTATGGAGCAAGAGCACCCCAGGTGGAGGGAACTGAGAGTGCAAAGGCCCTGAGGCAGGAATACTTTGTAATAGAGCTGACTCTGGTCCAGTGCTCCTTCACCACTTGCTATCTCTCTAGGCCAGCAGTGGGGAACGTCCGGCTAGCGGGCCATATATGACCCGCAAAATCATTTGGTCTGGCTCTGCCGAGGCATCAGGATGAGTTAATTAAAGGTTTGACCAAATATAGCCAGCGAATTTTTTAAAAATATATTTTTATTGATTTCAGAGAGGAAGATAGAAACATCAATGATGAGAGAGAATCATTGATGGGCTGCCTCCTGCACACCCCCCTACTGGGGATGGAGCCTGCAACCCGGGCATGTGCCCTTGACCTGAATTGAACCTGGGACCCTTCAGTCCCAGTCCAACGCTCTATCCACTGAGCCAAACCGGCTAGGGCTAATTTTTAAGTTGATAATTTTGTATGGCCTGGGAGTGATGTTATTAATATCCAAATGGCCCTTGGCAGAAAAAAGGTTTCCCACCCCTGCTCTAGGCCCTCAAAGAATTTCCTTTGGTGTCCTGGGCCTCTCTTAAGCTCGGTCCCTGCCATGCCAACTCATCCAGGAAGGCAGCAGCATTCTGGGGCTGTGGGTCCCCCTCCCAGAAGCCCTGTGGCTGACCAGGATCTGAGTTTCCTGGTTCCTGTCTGGCAGGGGGTGAGCAGACATCCTCCCAGCCTTCTTAGCCCCAGCCCCAAATCTCCATGACAACCCTAGACACAATCCTGATCTGAAGGGGGATCTGGAATGAAGAGCACAAAGATCACTGAGGAGGAGCTGGCGGACTTGGCTCTCCTTGCCCCTTGTATCCTGCCAGCCTCCCCACTGGCCTGACCAGGCCCCCAAACCCGGTTTTCCCCAAAGACCCCAAACCAAAGATTCTGCAGGTTTGCCCTGTCGCTGGGCACAGCAGGGCTGGATGGAAGCCCATCTTCTGCAGCTCCCCCAAAGGCTGCTCCTGCTGGGGGCAGCTGCCCTGACTGTGTCTGCTCTGGAGACAGGTGCGTAAAAAGGGACTTGGCTGGGGTGGGCAGGAGATTCAGGCCCCACCACCCTTAGAGAATGTTTCCCCAGTCAGTACTCACCCTAATGGGCTGGGACCCCTGGAGTTGGGGAGGCTGGGAAGCCCTGTGCCTGGCCTTGCCTGGCACCCCCAAGTCTACCCAAATCCCTCTGGAAGACCGGAGCTCCAAGTCACTCAGAAGCAGGGGTCGGGGGGGAGAGAGGGGATGTGACAGCCCTCAGATCTGGCCGTGGAGTCAGACAAGCCTGCATTCACAAACTCGCTCTGCCTCTACCTGCATTTCTACCATTGAGATCATTGTTTCAACTCTCTAAGTCTCAGGTTCTTCAGTAGTAAGATGGGAATCATAGTAAATCCTTGCCCCTTAAGAGAATTGATTATCGTGCATTAAGGATGAGATAAACCATGCAAGACACTTAGACAGCCTGGCCCACAGAAAGTGCTCAATTCACCAACTCTACTCTCATTCCCCACACTGGCATGTTGCGCCCTGAGGGCTGAGGTTAAATCAGGGTTCTTCTTCTTTTTTCCCCCTAATATATTTTTGATTTGAGAGAGGATGGGAGAGGAAGAGAGAGATAAGAAACATCAATGGCCCTAGCTAGTTTGGCTCAATGGATAGAGCACCGGCCTGTGGACTGGAGGGTCCTGGGTTCAATTCCGGTCAAGGGCACATGCCCAGGTTACAGGCTCGATCCCCAGTACAGGGTGCGCAGGAGGCAGCCGATCAATGATTCTCTGTTATCACTGATGTTCTGATCTCTCTCTCCCTCTCCCTTCCTCTCTGAAATCAATAAAAATATATTAAATATATATTTTTTAAAAAAGAAAAGAAACATCAATGATGAGAATCATTGGTTAGTAGCCTCCTGTATGCCCCCTACTGAGGATCAAGCCAGCAACCCAGGGCATGTTGTGCCCTTGACCAGCCTTTCAGTCTGTAGGCTGATGCTCTGTCCACTGAGCCAAACCGGCTAGGGCAGATCAGAGTTCTCTTTGCGAGGAGAGGGAACGGCTGTGAGGTGGGCAGGTACCCAATTGTGTCTACCTCATCCTTCAGGCAGCAATGACAGCTTGCATGCTATCACACTCACTAAATGCCAGGCACTGTCTGAAGCACTGAGCACGTTCATGTCCACAGTCCTTTAGTTTCAACTCCAAAATACACAAGCTGTTCAAACCAAAATTTGTCCTTAACTAATTTACTGGCAACACCTGACCTGAACTGACAGGAGGCTTCATTTGTCTTTCTCAGGGTAAATGTTCTTACAATTGCTCTAGAAAATGATCATGGAGGACTGTATATACCATACAGCATGGGCAAAAGTAGGTTTACAGTTGCTAGTATGGGAAAATAATGCAGTAGCCCTGGCCAGGTAGCTCAGTTGGTTAGACACTAACCATTAGAGGATCTGCTGGGGTCCAACCCCAGCAGGTCCAGGGGTCCCCAAAGGTGTGGACGGAGTCGGCGAAGAAGGAGACAGCGTTCAGTTGATCAGCAGCCTAGCCAGGATCTCTAGCCAGGATCTCCAGCCAAGTTCTGGTCAGGATCTCCAGCGAAGTTCTCGTATGGGATAATAATGCAGTAGCCCTGGCCAGGAAGCTCAGTTGGTTAGACACTAACCATGAGAGGATCTGTTGGGGTCCCCAAAGGTGTCGGAGTCGGCGGCGAAGAAGGAATGACACGGAGACAGCGTTCAGTTGATCAGCAGCCTAGCCAGGATCTCTAGCCAGGATCTCCAGCCAAGTTCTGGTCAGGATCTCCAGCGAAGTTCTCGTGTTTATTGTCTTGTTACATCTGTATTTATACCAGTTGATTTTAATCCTGTCAATTTCTATTGCAAAGGTTAGGGCGTTTCTTATCTCCATTCCAGGGAGTAAAGATTATGTAGCTTCATGATGATTGTTTGTAGTTAAAGTGATTAACTACCTGCCTGGCACTTAGTTAAGGGGTTTTATCCTCTCCCTAACTCCAGGGAATCCCTACCTGTCTCAGAGAGGTGACCTTGCTTAAAACACATAGCGCTAAGGGGAGCAAACATATTAAGAACAGTATGCTATATACGCCAGGTCCCTTGAAACATATGCTGTGCAGATGTTTCTTTCCTGCAGCGACCGTGTCAAGCAGCAAGGATGGACCGGCTTCCGGCAAGCATCGTCCCAATATGCCAAGGTTGCAGGTTCAGGGCACATACAAGAATCAACCAAAGAATGCATAAATAAACAGAACAACACATCAATATTTCTCTCTCTCAAAATCAATCAATAAAAATTTTAAGAAGTACAATAATTAATAAATAATGCAGCTGTAAACCTACTTTTGTCCCACCTTGTAAATACATCATATTCTCTTTCTAAAATCTGGAACATTCTGAAACATATTCGAGGATTTTTGAATAAGAGATTGAGGGCGTAAATTAAATTATTTAATCCTCACAAGAATTCTGAGATTGCTTGCTCATCCTCCCCGTTTTACCAATGAGGAAACTGAGGCTCAGAGAGGGTGAGTGTCTTACTTGGGGTCACACAGTGAGCAGGAGGCAGAGCCAGGCTTGGAACGAGGCCTGGTGGACCTCTGCGGGCGGAGGTGGCAGGGGGACGGGCTGCTGCTCAGCTCGCACTCCGCGTCGCGCAGGTTCTACTTCGTGGCCCAGGACACCGACTGCGGGCTTTGGCTGCGTGCCGCGGCCCCAGCGACAGGATTCGCTTCCAGTTCCGCTTCTTCCTGGTCTGCAGCCTGACCTCGGCATCCCGGGCATCCCTGGAGCCCAACGCTTCCACCCCAGCATCGTCATTGGACACACGCGCCCCCCGGAGAACCCCCCTCTGCGGCCTGACCATCCCTGGCCCGGTGAGGTCCACGGGGGTGTTCCTCGGCCTGCGCCTGGTCACCAGAGGTCGCCAGCCCCGCGTGGACTTCGTGGGAGAAGTCACCTCTTTCTGTTTGGGTGGGTTAGGGCTGTTGCCCAGGACGGGGCCTCCAAGCTGGGGTAACTGCGGCCCTGGGCTACCAATAGGGCACTGGGAGCACTAGAAGATGGAGCGGATTGGGTCCTAAGAGAGGAAGGAGGTGGTGAGTGGTGGCGGGGTTGGGTGTGGTCACGATAAGGGACATTCCAGAGTCCAGGGGTCCTCAAACTTTTTAAACAGGGGGGCCAGTTCACTGTCCCTCAGACCGTTGGAGGGCCGGACTATAGTTTTAAAACAAAACTATGAACAAATTCCTATGCACACTGCACATATCTTATTTTGAAGTAAAAAAACAAAACGGGAACAAATACAATATTTGTATTTGCATGTGGCCCGCGGGCCGTAGTTTGAGGACCCCTGTTCCAGACTCAAAGAGCTTACCCCATAAATCTGGCTTCCTATACCAGACACACACACTCCCACACACACACCCATACTGCAATCCACAACCCACACACCTCACACACATGGAATTCACATCACACACCTCATACACTCACAGTACCACCTTGCACACTTCCACACAACTCACACTCATGTTCACACGCCTCTCCTCTATCAGCAAAGGGGCCTAGTTAGGACTCTTGAGTCTGCATGCACATGGAACCAGCCTTCTCCCACCTCCCACATTCTCTCACTATAGGACCACCCATCCTGCTTGCTATGGGCTGGCCCAAGTTCCTTATAACATGCCTCCCCTTTGGACCCCAGGCTCCTGTGGTCCCTATTTCCGCTGTGGGAATGGCAGGTGCATCCCCCTGAGTCTGGTGTGCGATCTCTGGGGCATGGACAACTGTGGCCACGGCAGTAACCAGGCTTCCTGGCCACCAGCCAACTGCAGAGGTCAGTGACGGGGTGCAGCCTGGGCCCTGCTGGGCAGCTAGGAGGGAAGCGGGGGCCCAGCTCCCCCTCCCCAGGGCAGGGCCTCGGTGAGGAGGTTGGAGGCAGGGGCATGGCAGAAGAGAACAAGGGGAAGCACAGTAGTGGGGAATCGCTTTAGAAAAACTGTGCACACAGCCCACAGAGTACCTGAGGATCAGAGCAAGTTAGAGCCAGAATGACATGAGAGATTATCTAATCCAGCTGCTTTCAAATATTTTTTAAAGAAAAAAAATTTTTTTAAGTTGACTTCAGAGAGGGAGAGGGAGAGATAGAAACGTCAATGATGAGAGAGAATCATTGACTGGCTGCCTCCTGCACACCCCCTCCTGGGGATGGAGCCCGCAACCTGGGCATGTGCCCTGACCAGGAATTGAACCGTGACCTCCTGGTTCATAGGTTGATGCTCAACCACTGAGCCACACCGGCCGGGCTCAAATGATATTTTAGTGCTGGAAGCTCTTCCTAAATGGGACTTTGCACAGAGGCCCAAGACATTTAAGGAAAGATGCTCTGTTTAAGTGGACAGGACGGGCCCCGTGTCCCAGTGAGGAACCTGGCTTTGACTCTCAAGACTTACTTTTCTTTCTTTCTTTCTTTCTTTTTAAATATATTTTATTGATTTTTTTACAGAGAGGAAGGGAGAGAGATAGAGAGTTAGAAACATCGATCAGCCGCCTCCTGCACATCTCTTACTGGGGATGTGCCCGCAACCAAGGTACATGCCCTTGACCGGAATCGAACCTGGGACCTTTCAGTCTGCAGGCCGACGCTCTATCCACTGAGCCAAACCGGTTTCGGCTCTTTTCTTTCTTTTTTTGTTGTTTTTTTTTCAAGACTTACTTTGAAAACCACTGATCCAGTCTGACACACATTTCACAGATGGGGAAACGGGCCTAGGGAGGAGAAATGACTCGACGGCTCCAAGTCACAGTCAGTGATGACATAACCAGGAATGACCTCTGAGTCCAGGGAGACCAGGTCACCCAGGAGTATCCTTCTGAGAATCTGGAGGTGCCCTTGCCCCCAACAGGGCTGGCATACACGGCTGAACAGGTTGTTTACTACAAAAAAGCAGCTGGTGGAGTGGAATCCAGCTTCCCGGGTCCCCGCACACTCCCTCCTCAGTCCCCTTGGCAGGTTCCTGGCCACCTCCCTGTCGCTCTGTGCTTTGTGCCATCAGGCCCAGTCCCTACATCCGCTCCTCTTCCATCCTCCACACTCATTCCCTCAGTGGTCTCCTTCAGAACACATACCAGCTGGAATGTCTTTGAACTCTAGTTATATAACCACCTCCCAGCTCATCTCCATGTGGGTGTGTAGGTGGCATCCCAAACTTAACTTGGCCCAAAACTGAACTCCTGATCCACAGCTGTTGTGTGACTTTTTTAAGTATATATATATTTTTATTGATTTCAGAGAGAAGGGAGAGGGAGAGAGAGATAGAAACATCAGCGATGACAGAGAATCATTGATCAGCTGCCTCCTGCATGCCCCACATTGGGAATCAAGCCCGCAACCCGGGCATGTGCCCTTAACTGGAATCGAACCCGGGACCCTTCAGTCCGAAGGCCGACGCTCTATCCACTGAGCCAGACCAGCTAGGGCTACGGGTCTCTTCTTAACCCTCACTCTTAGCGAGCTCTCTCCTGACCCCTTAATTTTAAAAAAAAGCAACGCTGTGTCCATGGACAGGTGAATGGATAAACAAAATGTGATGTGGCCACATAATGGGATATTATTCAGCCCTAAAAAGGAAATTTCAACATGTCTGAAACCTTAAAGACACTCTGCTAATTGAAATAGGCTAAACAGAAAAGGATAAATGCTGTATGATTCCACTTCTATGAGACACCTAGAGTAGTCAGACTCAGAGACTGAAAGTAGAATGGTGGTTGCCAAGGACTGGGCTGGGGGGAGCGGGTGGGGAGGAAGAGAATAGGGAATTAGTATCTAATGGGGACAGAGTTTTAGTTTTGCAAGATGAAGAGTTCTGGAGATGGATGGTGGTGATGGTGGCACAGCAATGTGAATGTGCTTAACACCACTCAACGGTACACTTACAAAATGGTTAATGGTTTATTGTGGTATACATCACAATTTTTTAAAAAAGCAGCCCTACTCCTAGCCAACATGCCTGTCCCTTTTCCCTGCTTAATTTTATCTCCATTTGACATAATTTCCTTTGTGTCTTCTCACACTGAACTGCCAGTTCCATGAAGACATTTTTGTCCATTTTGCTCACTGTTGTATCCCCAGTCCCTAGGGCATAGTAGTAGATGCTTGAGAAATATGAGTCAAATGAGGGGAAGAATGAACCTCCATGCCTCAGCTTCCTTATCTGTAAAATGGGGTGATAAACCTAACTTTTCAGAGTTGTTACAAACTTTAAGAGAAACGCCATAGGTAAAGGGCCCAGCACTGAGCACGGTGTTGGGTGCACAGAAAACACTGAATATGTGCACATCCCCCTTCCTGAGAAGTAGCTCTATTCATAAACTCCAGGCTCTGGAGCTAGACTGCATGAGTTCGAGTCCTCCCCTATCACTCCAGCTGTGCGACCTGGCAAATGACTTAGCTGCCCTTCCTTGATCTACTAGCTTACAATGGAAACACTAATTGTAACAAACAGAGGTTTGGAAAGGACTGAAGGAGACATAGCCATGCCTTAGGAGCCCAGTTCTGTGTTAGCTCTGTCATTTCCCACTCAGGTCCCTCTCTGATGCCCAGCCAGGAGGGGAGTACAGAGGCTGACACCTCCAGGCCCCCGACTGTCTCCCCAGCTCCCGGGTCAGCAGGCCCCCTCCAGAGTGCAGCTGGGAGCAGTCCCCCAGCAGGCAGCGGCCCTGCACAAGGTATAGCCATGCCTTAGGAGCCCAGTTCTGTGTTAGCTCTGTCATTTCCCACTCAGGTCCCTCTCTGATGCCCAGCCAGGAGGGGAGTACAGAGGCTGACACCTCCAGGCCCCCGACTGTCTCCCCAGCTCCCGGGTCAGCAGGCCCCCTCCAGAGTGCAGCTGGGAGCAGTCCCCCAGCAGGCAGCGGCCCTGCACAACAGGATGCAGCTTCGGAAGGAAGATGGTCTTGTTACCACCTGCCCCCACTCCTCCCACCAAGATCACACTGGTCCCTCTCCAGGTGTTGGGAACCGGGGGAGCAGGCCGGGGCTGAGACCTGAGTGGACTCTCCCTTTCCTCCTGTAGGTCCCCGGCTACAGAAGGTGGCGCTGGCCTCCTCGCTGCTCCTGGCCTCTGCTGGCCTCCTCTGGTGCTGTTGCTCCTCCAGCCAGCTGGCCCAGAGGGCTGGTGCCCGTGGCCTCTGCTTTAGCTGCACCATCTGTCACACATGTCCTGGCCAGGTGGCCCCTGGTGGACTGCGGCCGAGTAGGACAGCCTTCCAGGGTCAGGGAGGCCATGCATAGAGAGGCTGCGGCTTCAGAGAATGGACAGTGGGCTCTGGGGTCGGACAGACCCTGGGTCTGTCCCCACCCCGCTGAGGACTGTCTGACCTTGGGCAGGTCACGTAACCCTCTGAGACTCAGTCTGCTCCTCTGGAAAATGGGACGATCCCTGCCTCCCAGGGTTGTGGGGAAGGCCACAAGAGGTGACTGGCCCCATAGCTCGTGCGGTGGCTGGCACTCTGCTGGATCCGTGAAGGGCAGGACCTCTACGCCCAGGGCAGGGAGCAGGGGCCTCGCTCACCTGAAGCTTCCCTGACTCACCCCCAGGCCTCACCTACCCTGCTCTGGTGCACCCTCAAGTTCCACAAGTGAAGCCCTAGTCAAAGACACAGGGACCGCCCTGGCGGGGATAGCACCGTTTATTAAGAAAGATCAAGACAAAGACCATAAGGAGGTCCCTTCTGGACACAGAGGCCAGGCGTCCTGACCCAACGTCTGGGGAGCGACTGGTGGGGAGGGCGCTTGTCCCCAGTTGGGCCCTTAGGTTCCCACAGATGGGGCAGGGGTGTCATGGCCCCTTCCTGTCCCTCTGTCATGAGTCCCCAACATCTGGGGAGCTACTGGTGGGGAGGGCGCTTGTCCCCAGTTGGGCCCTCAGGTTCCCACAGATGGGGCAGGGGTGTCATGGCCCCTTCCTGTCCCTCTGTCATGAGTCCTGGCTTCCCCCACCCAAGGCACTTGCTCTTTCCAACCAACACCCTCCTCCCCCCATATCCCTTGGGCCTTCACTTCCAGATCAGTGGGGGGATGTGGCCCTCTCAGTGCTGGGCTCGGGCTGCAGCAGCTCCTGGTAGGAGCTGGGGTGGAGTTTCCCTGTAGCCCCTGAGGGCGGGGGCCCTGGGCTAGGTGTTGGGTGGGGGGATGCAGACCAGCTGGTCAGGCAGAGGTGAAGGTGGAGGGGGGCTGGGACATGGGCTAACGGGGTGGGGGCTGCCTGTCCAGGGGTGAGCTGCCTTTTGCTCCACAGTTGGCACTAAAGAGCTTTTGCTACCCAGAGGAGGGTGGCAAAGGCCATTGCGACGCCCTCTGCTCCTAGTGGCTGGGGAGGACCCAGGCTGTACGCCATGGTTGGCTCTTGTAGGGACTAGGGCTGCAGACATGGGCGGCCTGGCTCTGCCATGGGGGCACTTCTGAGGCCACTCAGCCACCATGCCTGCCCCTCTGAGGCACCTGCTCCCAGCCAGCCTGCCCTGTTCCCCAGCCTGCGGCTTTGCCCAGGTGTGTTTGGGTGGGGGGTGGCATGCCCACCCTCCAGTCCAGCCCAGGGCGGTAGCAGCAAAGCGTGGCATCGCCTCCGTTTCTTACAAAATATTCATAATAATAATATTAATAATAATAGACTCGACGATGTGGGGCTGGGGCACTGCCCAGGAGTCCTTGTGGGCAGGCAGCTGCCTATGAGGGGCAGGGCCGCGTGTTGGCCCCCTCCTGGGCGTTGTGCTGCAGGTCCAGGGGCTGTGGGGGCGGGGCGCCTGGCCCGGCCGAGTGCAGCACCAGGTTCCTGAGACAGCCCATGATGCCTGAGGAGAACCTGCCCCCGGTCAGTGTGGCCACGTTGGGGGCTCCGCCTGTGGGGGGAGAGGACAGGACCTGTCAGCTCCAGGGGCCCCAGAGGAGAGGGGGGCGTGTGCTGGAATCTGCAGGAGCCCTTCTGGCACCGAGGCCCCAACCCAGGACTCACCGACATAGATGCTGCCCTTGGTGTTGACGGCCACATTCGGGCCTGGGGACTGGCCGCTGACCAGCTCCTCACCGTCCACCTGGATGGAGCCCCTCCGGCCCTCTCTGTGGGGGCGGGACTGGGTCAGGCCCTTCACCAGCAGGCCTCCGAGCTTCCTGACCCAAAGAGCCCCTCCCATTTCCACACACTCGAGAAGTCCGCACCCAGAGTCCTTCCTTCCCCCCAGATAAGAGATCTGCACTCCCCAGCTTCCTAGCACCCACCCAGGTTTCACCGATGTAGGTGCTTCCCCCCCATGTCCTGCCCTGAAGTCTGTGCTTCAAATTGTCTCCCCAAAGCCCACCGCCTGCCTCCCCACGCGTGGTGGGGCCCCTTCCCCAGTGTCGGGGGGCGGGGGGGCTCCCTTACCGCAGTGCCGTCACCCGATGCCACTCGCCGTCATTGATGGGGTCCTCAGAGACAAGGCGGGCCTCCCCGCTGCCCAGCTGGTAGCTGTGGTCACACAGGCCCAGGGAGGGGTGAGGTGGGCAGGACAGGAGTGGGTGTGGGAGGGTGGGGGTGACACTGGGAGCTGCAGCTCCTTGTGGGAGGAGCCATGAGCTGAGCAGACGGGAAGCTATGGGGGATGGGGGGGTGGGGGGGAGGCGCCAGGGAAGGGAGAGAACCCACCTGAAGACAAGGTGCCCATCCTGAAGCCCGAGACTGATGAAGTCCTTCCCTTGGCTGGCCTCTCCCATCTCCTGCCAGGGAAGCACAGGGTGTCGGGGTCCCCAGCCTGGAGAGCTGAGGCCCCTGACGGTGTGGCCGCCGCCTTTTTCTTTCCCACTGCCCTGCTGGACGCCCACACTCACCATGCCCTGCCAGAGCAGGAGGCCGCTGGCTGTGCTGGTCCGAACTTCCAGCTGGATGGTCTCAGGCACCCTGGGCAGGCTGGGGGGGTAGGTGGACAGGTGAGGGGGCAGAAGTCCCAGGTTCCCACTCCCCTCCCCGGGCTCACAGGCTCTCCCAACACCCATCTCACCTCCTGGGGAAGACGTAGCTGGGGAGGGATAGGAAGCCACCATCGTCGAAATAGGCTCCGTACTGTCCTGGGGCATCTGCGGGAGAAAGGGGGATATAAGACAGCTGCTCACCTGCTCGAGTGTCCACCAGGCATCAGGTCCTCTGACCCTACCTCCACCCCGTCATGTAGGACCAGGGGGCTCTGAACCTGCAGGCCCTGGAGACCCAGGGGGCGTGGACAGAATTCAGGGGCCTGCGGACTTGGATAGAAAACATTAGGGTTCTATGTTCACTGTCGTCTCACTGAATTTAGCAGTTTCTCTAGTTATGCACGCAGGCAACAAAGGAAAGGAGCAGCAGGAGGGCCTGTGACTTCCTCACCAATAGATTTCCTTTTCGAATTGCAGTGGGTGCAAATATCTCAGAACACTGTGTACGCTTATTGAACTGTGTTAGCTGTTAGGACCAGCACTAGATCTTGTTATTTAATGTGTTGATGAAGCAGCACATAGGTTACAGTTGAGAAAATTTAAAACATTTTGATCATCTTATTTCAGTGTAATTGGTTTCCTATTTTTGTGATTGTTGATTTTAATACATTTTTATTGATTTTAGAGAGGAAGGGAGAGGGAGAGAGAGAGAGATAGAAGCATCAATGATGGGAGAGAATCACTGACCAGCTGCCTCCTGTACACACACTACCGGGGATCGAACCCCCACCCCAGGCATGCACCCTGACTGGGAGTAAAACCATGACCTCCTGGTTCATGGGTTGACACACAACCACTGAGCCATGCCAGCCTGGCTGCATTTTTTTTTTAAACAGTCAATAGGTCCATCCCTAGTTGCTAAGTTCTTTTCCTGGTTTTAGCTCTGAAAGTCCCACAGCTCAAGAAACCCCTCAGCCCTCAGGAAACTGGGACAGTTGGTCACCTAAGTCCATGGCACCTGAAAGATCTAGAACCTTTGTGTTCCTTCCATCTCCCAGATAGGAAGCCAGGCTCGGGGGTGAGTAACTTGCCCAGGAAGTAGGAAGTCTGGATGGCAACCTGGACCTTTTGGCTCTAACATCCATACTGTGTGCACCTCCAACATCCCAGCCCTACCTGCTCAGACCCATCCCACAGGCTAGTGCCGGCCCCTGTGGGCCTGGCAGCTGCAAGGGTTGGGGATACTTGGCCACCCTCCACCAAATGATGAGAACAGCTAACATTTACCGAGCACCTACTATGTGCCAATCACTGTGCAGGGAGTTTCACATCCAGCTGTAAACATAATTTCATTGAACTGGATCCTTATAATAATCCCATGACTTACATATGATATTCATAAAAGCTAACATCATATATCCACCAGGTACCAGGCATTGTTCTAAGCATTTTAAAGACTTTCAATAATTTTACTCTCACACAATATTTATCCAAAGCCTTGTGGAAGGATGTTACTTCTCTCCATTGTACACATGAGGAAACAGGCACAGAGAGGGTAAGTGACCCACTCAAAGTCACACAGCCAGGCAGGCTGGCTTCAGAGTCTACGCTCTGACCCACGACACCACTACCTATCTCAGTAGTGATAAATGAGATAATGTCTATAAAGCAGCTAGCACAGTGCCTGTGAATGTTCAAGATGGTAGGACTCAGCTCTGTGTGGCTTTCTTTGCTCTTCTTTAGTCTACTTGTGCCCAGCGAGCCTCTCACATGGACCTGTTCTGTTTAGAGCCAGGATTAAAGGTGTGGGGTAACTGGACCGGGAGCTGAGAGACCCGAATCTAACTAGGAGACAAGTCCACTCAGCTTCTCTGGAAAGTACGTACCGTTGCCCCCACTGCCTTCAAGATGCCAGTCGGATTCCGCAGTGCCATGTCTAGAGGCTATGGAGAAAGGCAGGGTCCCGTCAGTGGGCACAGACGCTGTCCCGCCCCAGAGCTCCGAAAAGGGATGGAGAGAAGCTGGGGCAGTTACCTTGTTGGCAGCGGGGGCCAGAGAAGCCGGGGGGACAGAGGCAGTGGGTGCCCTGGCAGGTGCCCCCATGCAGACAGGGCTCACGGAGCTGGCAGGGGTTCTCCTCATGCTCACAGAGGTCTCCTGCAGTTCATGGCAGAGGTGAGTGGCACGAGCTGGAGTTGCTGCTGACCACCCCCCGCCCCTCCCTCTCCCAGGGCCTGGGCAGCTCACACACCTTTGAAGCCATCTCGACATAGACACTGAAACTCAAACTCGCCAGCAGGAAAGCACGTGGCACCGTTCTGGCAAGGCTGGCGCTCACACGGGGAGCTGTCATAGCACTGCCCGATGCCCCGGCTGCCCAGGAAGCTGTAGGTGAGGTCTAGCCGCTTTCCATTCACTGACACCTGTGGGCATAGGGACACTGAAGGACTCAGGCCACACAGGAGGTGGGCATTGGCGTACCAGCAGAGAGAATGCAGTAGAGCGGTAGCTGGGAAACCAAGCTGGAATCTGAGTGGAACAGAGGACTGTAGGGTAGGGAAGGGAGAAACAGGAGCACCTACTGTGTGCCATCAACATCCATAATACAGTCAATCCTCAGAACAACCCTTCAAATGAGGTGTAATTACCCCATTTTACAGAGGAGGAAACTGAGGCTCACAGGTGAAGTTTCTGGTCCCAAGGGCCTTAGCTAGCTGCAAGTGGGGGAGTCTGGTTTGCACCCCTCCCCTCCTTGTCCTCTGGAAGCTGCTCCTCACCTCACCCAGGCAGCCACGGAAGGGAGTGCTAATGTTGGTGGCCGGGGACAGCTGCACCGAGGGCTCCACGCCACCGAGGTAGAGGAGGGTGTGCAGGTTGAGGCCTTGGCTCTTGCCCGGGGAGGAGCGCA